AGCCAACTCAAGCTCGCGTGCCTTAGCGATTTCGACATCATTATCAATAATGCCAGCTTTGGCTGCTTCGAAGGGTTTTCTCCTCATGCTATACATGGCGTAAGTTTTTTCAACAACGAGGGAAGCCTCTCGGTGCCTGAGTTCTTCTTTGAGCTGAGTGATCTCGGCAGAAAGATCATCCTGGACGGATCTAGCAGATCGAAGACTGACATCGAGATCATGGACAGTTAAACTATAGAGCCTGTTGTGCTCGATAGTTTCCTTATACTTCTCCTTCAACCGGGCGTGACTCGCCCCTGCGGCAGCAAGTTCTTCGGCCTTAGAATTCAAGGCTGCTTCTAAATTAATTATCCTTTCAGTAGCGGCAGCCTCACGATCATTGGCAGCAAGAATGACATTTTAGACCTCAACCCATTTAGCCTTGACTTCATCAAAGCCGGCCCTCAGCGGCCCAACTTCATGGCTGAGGGTTACCACTTCTTGCTCACTTTGCTGCAAACGAGTTTCCAAAAGATCGGCCTCAGTGGCCCTGGTTTCCAATTCCGAGAGGCGAAGAACAGTCTGGTCTCGTTCCTCCAAAAGCTGGTCCCGCTCATAAGAGAGTTCCTCCTTCTCGCGGATTAACCATTGAAGGCCCTCGGAAGCAAGAAAATTGGCCTGCGAGATAAAAAGAGGTAAAGCTTAAAATGCACTCATTCAGAAGCTGAACAAAATAGCAGAGAAAGAAAGAAGCATACCGCAGCAGCATTATGCATGGCATTGTTCAACAAACAAACTCCCGAGAGTGTCTGAATTATCCAATCCTTCTCTGAAGCCAAGGGCTTCAGATAATTTGCAAGCTCCACCGGCCGGGAAAGAAGGTTGCATCCGGTAGAGACTGAGAGGGTAACATTCCTCCTCCTCTGAGGATCTTCAGAAGGGGCAACATAAGTTTGCCCCAAATTCCCATGAACAAGAGATTGGGGAAGAGGAATGCCCTTCGGCACTGTCAGGTGCGGCCGATGGAGGTGATATTGTTCATGAAAGCATAGATGAAGATGAAAATGATGTAGCAGCAATTGGTGGTGAAGAAGGGGGGGTGATAAAACTGGTAAGGGAGAAGAACGGGAAACATCTGCATCGAAGGCAACATTGGTCGTTGGGTGCTCACCAACCAAGGACAGCAAGGACGGTACTCTGCCTCGCAGTACTAGGCACAACGATTGGGGCCCGAGTACTGGAGCTGGCATTTTCCACCAAATCAAACTCTCCTCAAAGTGCCGAGACATCATCCTCGGCGGGTGTGACTCCATCAACAGGTTGAGCATACTGTTGAGAGGATAATGATTATTGTTTTCTATGAAAAGAAGCTCCCTCATCACTAGCTTCTTCATCAGCAATCACTACTATGTCTATGACCAGGCCGGGGGGAGGACCGACCAGCGTCGCCACCTAGGATGATTCGGGGGCATTAACCTTTGCCCTCTTATTCTTCTCCCCGGACGCAAAGGAACACCTTCTTTTTGGTTGCTTGTTCTTTGGACGGGGACTCCGTGAAGAAGTATTTGTGCCCGGAGCAGATCCGGAGGTACCCGTCCGAGCAAGCGCCTCCTGGAGCAGCCTCGACGCATCAGCATGGTCGGCCAAAATATCCTCTTCGGGGATCTCGACTGAGCCCGGGGGCAGACCTAATTTGACAAACAAGTTAGGAGATTCAGCCAAAATCTACATATGCATAAAATAAAGCAAAGCAAATCATAGTTACCATGATTCTTGGCCTTCTACCCGTATTTGATGGATAGTTCTTTCCACAAGCGGATGTCGGGCGTGGTAATTTCCAAAATATTTTGAACCCATCGGTCCAAGCCTTCTACCATCGGTGGGACCCATCGGGCCGCTATAATATATAGGAGTTAAATAATTAATACGGGCATGGAAAAGCATTTAGGAGGAACGTAATGAAAGAAACTTATGATAGCGGTTCCAAGCAACCGAAAAGGATAAAGTCGTTGTTGGAATAATGTTACCAGAGGCAACTGCAACGAACCGTTCCATCCACCCTCGGTCATTGTCATCATCCATGCTGGATATCAAAGCATGGTGACCTCGCTTGCAGAGATTTATCATTCCCCCGCGGAAGACTTTGGGGGAGTACAAATTCATCATATGAGCCAATGATAGCTCTTCTTTGGTTTCCAGACACAAATGCCGAAGGTAGGCGACCGTCCTCCACACGGAAGGACTTACTTGTGCCAACCACACCTGATAACAGAGACAAAATTCCGCTTTGACAGTATCAAGTTCTCCGTCCAAAGAAAATGGACCAAAAGTAAAAGGGTACATATAAAAATATGTGAAACCCTATCTGGGATGGGTCGCTCGCTCTGATAGATCGGGAGCAATAATGTCCAAATCTTGGCAGCAACAGTCTTCCTTCACAGTAGGGATACTGGAAGGACGAATAGAAGAGGGTACCTGCTAACCGCCCATGTACGGGGGTTATCAGTGGCAAATTTCTCCTCCAAATCCTTCAAAGTACTAAGCCTCTTAGGGATTATGGAACTTACTATTGGAGGAACAGAATCCTCGTTCTTAATCTTGTTCTTCAAAGAACCAGCACGTTTAGATGAAGAAGCCATTGAAGAAGAGAAAGAAAAGGTTCTATATTTGGAAGAAATTAGAGAAGAGATGTGGAACAGGGATGCAGGTTGGAAGTTCAAACAATTGAGCCTAAAGAAAAAGGGAGTCGAAACGTATATGTAAAAATTTTGGGCGGCTAAAATACTTGGCCCCAATTACCTCGATAACCGGCAAAAAACGTGCTAAATCATAGGAGGACGCGTGTTCAGGGTATTAAATGCGGAGAGACCGGCGTCTAATCAGCCATCAGTAACCTGCAAAAGGGATTATAGTAATTTTCGCCAAAAGGGGATTCTCGCCGACTTCCCGGTAACACAAAGTTGTGTCACCGAAAAGCAGGGGGACTATCTGTACTAGGTAAATACGTTATGCTACGTGGCCATCCAAGAAGGGGACACGTGAAATTAAAACCGGGAGGATGAAAAATCGGGCACATCTACCTCGTGTGTCACCAAGAAAGGCAAGTTCGTAAAAGCATTGAGCAGGCTGCGCCCGGTAGCATTCAATAAAAAATATTCTAAACATTAAAGAGTAATAGCTCATTAAAGAAATCTGAGCATTTATGTTTACCGTTAGGTTTTCATTATAATACTTTAATTATTGTCATTAGTGGTGGGCCCGATCATTACGCCCACTGAGCTATAAATAATAGGCTCAACTATTGGGTATCAAAGAAGGCATTTTCTAATATAGACCTCGATACTTTTGCTCTCCCTAGTTTCTTGTTTTTATCATCATCGTACCCTAAAACTCTGTTCTCGGGCTCTCCAAATCTATCGTTTTATCGGCATTTGAGCTAAGCATATTGGACGAAAATCGATTAATCCATTATCTTTTGGGATCAAATTGATTTATCTGTCTAGAAACCACGAACTAATTCAACTGTACCGTTTTCCGGGTGAACAATGATTGCTTATGATAAGTCGTAGACCGTGATGTTTGTTTGAGGCTAGCATACCTAGTTTGCCTCTATATACTTTTGCTAATGAAGTCACATGCTAATTTTCCTATTAGTTATTTCCCTATTTCCCTAAACTCGTAAATATGCTTGTTGCATGTCATATTATTTTTTTCCCTTTAAGCTGTATAATTACATTCAGTTTTATATATATATATATATATATATATATATATATAAAAGGTGGCTTTCCAAACAAGTATTTCAAACCCTGCGAGGGGCCAAACTAGCTACGACAAATTATTTTGAAGGTATGTCGAAAATTTTCGACTATTTTATAATTGGTGGGAACCTATACGATGTCATTTGGCACTTGTTTTCAAGTTTTCCGACTCAATACACAAAGCTCGATTAATTGATCGGCTGTCCACTAGTACGTATTTCTTTTTCTTCATGTGTGGCACAGCTACTGTTAAGTTTGGTAGAATATATAAGGGAAAATAATATATGGGTTAACTTTGATATTATTAATTTTTTATTTGGTAGTCTTTCTCAACATATGTGTAATTATTAATTGTACTATTCTTATACATAACAAATCATGACATTAGCAATACTATAATTTTTACTACATGAATATACTTGTATAAAGATAGAGTTGCCCTTTTAAAACATTTTCTAAATCTTTTTCAAATCGTCGCAGGACATTATTGAAAATAAATAATTTTAATTTTTATGCAATGTACATTTATTTTGATATAACAAATCAAACAGTCGATAAAAAATAATTACAACATAACTAATCCTACCATTACCAATCCCAACATACTCATAAACCCTATTTAGTACTATTCTTGTACACCATATCAAACAGCACCTTAAAGTTTTTAAAATTCGTAACCGTACCTACCACCATTTTTCAAGTTTTGAAATCCTTAATCACACCTACCACGTTGCTTAACTATATTTTACTTCAATTTAAGGCCAGTGCATCACATGATAGACCCGAATTCCAAGTCCTCACCATATGAGCAACTTGTTTTGAATTTAGATTATCAAAAACAGGAACAAAAAAAAAAGGCGCTAATTATAATAATAATTTAATCACAATAGTTATAGGAATCTCCACAAGAGTAAGGCATGCCAGTAACAAAAATACCTTAATACAAGATATTGATGAATAATTAAACCACTTAAAGTTAACCTTCTGCACGTTTTGTACAAAATATTGAATTTTCCTTTCCCAATAAAGTAGCAACCCTAATTTCTTTTACCAGACTTAGACAATTACTAGTATCTTGCAAACTGATTTATTCTATCCAGGAGCTATAATTAATCAAAAATATATACTTATAAATCAATTGATCCGTATGACTATTGAATTACTAGTGGATTTTCATAAACTAATTTTTTTTTTTTTTTTGTGTTCAACCAGATCTGTACGCATTTGCTATAAATAGGTGGACAGGATAAGACATTCCTTGCTCAAAAACGAATACACTTAGGTAAACACAAGAAAACATGGCTGTTCACAAAGCTGGTTTCCTTTCTCTTCTCCTTTTGTTTGGTAATGCTTTTATCTTAATCTTTACTTCTACGTTACGTTAAACCATTATATATATATGCTTGTATTTCCTTTGAACTCTTTTTCCAGAAATTTTACTAAAGGTATCAAAATATAAAAAGGTAAATGAAGAAAATAAGGGAAGTCAACATATAATGTGTGTATACATAAATATAAAATTTTGACCTAGCTAAACAGTTAAATTTTCCCCAGAAGGGTTATCAATTGACACCCTTTGCATAGGGTGGCTCTGCATTGTCTCTTTCTCATCTTAACCTTTGGTACTTCTACGTTGCAGGAATTTTTCTACTTTTAAGTGAGCTAGAATATGCAGATGCCAAGGCTTGTACCCGAAATTGTAATCCAAGAATTCGTTACGGGAGATGTCCAAAATCAGGAAATAAGAAGTTTAGCTTAGGATGCACCAACTGTTGTGCAGGATCCCTAGGTTGCAACTATTACAGTGCTAATGGAACTTTTATCTGTGAAGGAGAGTCTGAGATTAAAGTCGAAACTATAGAGACTGAAGTCGAAACTATGGTCGAACCAAATAAGATTTGTCCCCGTAATTGTGATCCAAAAATTCGCTACGGGAGATGTCCAAAATCAGGAAATAAGAAGTTTAATGTAGGATGTACCAACTGTTGCGCAGCCAGAAAGGGTTGCAATTATTTCAGTGCCAATGGAACTTTTGTATGTGAAGGAGAGACTGAGACTAAAGTCGAAATCATAGAGACTAAAGTCGAAATGCGGAAATAAAAAGAGTAGCGATCGAATATGCACCAACTGTTGCGCAGGCAGAAAGGGTTGCAACTATTTCTGGAACTTTTGTTTGCAAGGGAGAATCTAGAGTCGAAAGTATGATAGAAGTTGTTAAACCTCGTCCCCGTAACTGTGATGCAAGAGTTGGTTACATGACTTGTCCACAGTTGGGATTGGCAAAACTTAGTCAAGTATGTGTCAACTGTTGCAGTGCAGGAGAAGGTTGTAAACTCTATGGTTTTGATAGATCTTTACTTTGTACTGGTGGGGATCGGATTCAAACCTATTAATCCTCATAAGGGTAGATGCCTTTTCTTTTTCTAGTTTGTACTCTCTAATTAAATAAATGGCTGAGGGTATGTCTCTTGGGTGGTGTATGATGCGACAGTGGATTTTTCCAATTTCCAATGTCTGTACTAGGTTTTCAAGAGCCTAATGAATGGAGTACTCGTTTATCTTACTAATTAAGTTTAATTTTATGCATTTATTATCTAAATAAGATTACAGCGGAATATCTGTGTTAAATACCATTGGTAAAAAATGGCAGTCCGGTGAATTAAACTCTCGTTATGCGTGGGTTCCGAAAAGAGCCAGATCATACGGGTCTATTGTATGCATCCTTATCCTGTATTTTTGTAAGAGTTTGTTTTCACGGTTTGAATCCGTGGCTCCCCTTAATACCATTGGTAACCTAATAAAAATGGTACTCCCTCTGTCCAAATGGATTTTGAAAGTCAAACTTCGCAATAGTAATCACAAGTTCGGACATGAAGCCTTTAAATTTTATGAATTAAAATTTATATATTTTGAGACTATATTAATAATTTAAAATATTTAAAAGACATATAAAAATATTAAAGTAAAAAAAATTCGTTACTATGAAAATTCGAACTGTATTAAACAAATTAGGACGGAGGGTATTTAGAGGGTTAAAGATTTTATTTTTCGCATCATCAGAGGAAACACGGATAGTGACTGTTATCTATACGATCAAGTCTATTAGCTTATTGCTGGGAGTTTCTTGTTCTCTTCTTTTCTTTAGTTCTATAATCTAACCTTGAAATGGGGCCATAGGTCGATTCATTGGAGTACGGCGTTTAAAGAAAAACTTTTAACACATATTTAACTCAATATATACAAAATATCAAAAGTACTTTAAGAATCTTGCAACTTTCAATATGTTCATGTAATTCGAGCAGCGACAAAGAGCCAAATATACCCTTTCACTTTCAAAAATGGTCTAAGAATACTCCTTATTATATTATTGGGTTATCTGTACCCTTGCAGTCATACTTTGAGTTCAAATATACCCCTCATTTAAACGGAGGGACACGTGTCATCGTCCTGTTAGTCAATTCTAAATATCTCCTAATTAATTAAAAATACCCATTACCCATACCCGAAAAATAATTTTTTAAAGCATTTTTTTTTGTAAAAACAGAAAAAAACTGAAATTATTTTTACTAAAAACTGAAAAAAACGAAAATATTTTTTTTTTTTCCAGTTTTTACAAAAACATTGCTTTAGAAAAAACTGAAAAATATTTTCTAAAACAATGTTTTTGTAAAAACTGGAAAACAAAAGGTGAAAATCAATTTTCTAAAGCAATTTTTTTTGTAAAAACTGGAAAAAACTGAAATTGTTTTTACTAAAAACTGAAAAAAACGAAAATATTTTTTTTTTCAGTTTTTACAAAAACTGCTTTTAAAAAAAGCTGAAAAATATTTTCTAAAATAATATTTTTGTAAAAACTGAAAGAAAAACTAAAAAGTAATTTTCTAAAGCAATGTTTTTGTAAAAATTGAATTTTTTTTTCCAGTTTTTAGTTAAAAATATTTCAGTTTTTTCTAGTTTTTAATTGCTTTAGAAAATTGCTTTTCAGTTTTTTTTTTCCAATTTTTTACAAAAATATTGTTTTAGAAAATATTTTTCAGTTTTTTAAAGCAGTTGTTTTTGTAAAAACTGAAAAAAAAAATATTTTTGTTTTTTTCTCAGTTTTTAGTAAAAAAAAAATTTAAATTTTTCCAGTTTTTATAATTTTTTTTTTTGGGTATGAGTAATGAGTCTTTTTAATTAATTAGGAGATATTTAGAATTGACCAACAGGACGATGACACGTGTCCCTCAGTTTAATGAGGGGTATATTTGAACCCAAAGTATGACTGCAGGGGTATAGATAACCCAATAGTATAACGAGGGGTATTCTTATACCATTTTCGAAAGTAGAGGGGTATATTTGACCCTTTGCCGTTCGAGCAGGCCGTTTAGATTAACTGATAATCATTAGGTGCTGAAAAATATTTTTAAGTGCTAAAATTGATTTAATAAATAAGCAGTTATATGTTTGGATACAAGTGCTGAAATTTATAATAAGATGTTGCAGTATTTGGTTAAAAAAAAAGTGCTGATAAGCTCTTTTTCTGTTAAAATGACTTAAATAACTTTAGAACTGTTTACACTTATAAGAGCGTAATTTCTTCAAAATTTTAGATTCCAGATCGATTCAAATGCAAAATATTCTATTAGTCATTTTATTTTTAATACAACTGTGCTTAGATAAGATAATTTTTATAATAAATATAATTTATTTTATGATAAGCATATAATCATAAGTTATAATAATTAATAAATTGACAAAAATTTCTTAGTAAAAATAAACCTAAATAGGACAAAATATTTGAAGAGAAACAAACACTATCTTCGTCACCACAACCACTACAAGAAATCGAAAAATTAACGGCGGTTTAAAATGGCGGCTTATTTGCACCACTGTAATAAGCAAAACATTATGGCGTTAGTTCAACAACCATATTGTTTATTTGGAAAACGGCGGTTAAGTGTATAATCAGACCGTTGCTACCTTTATTTCTATCAGGCACTAATCTCACCCTAAAAGATAGAACCCCCTCTGTCACTCTCACCCTAATAAACCCTTCTCTCCAATCTCTCCCTATCCCTCCCACCGATCCGGCGCATCCGGCGCATCCGTCATCTCTCTTCTCTTAATCTCTTCCCCTAAGGTCCTCGATTGGAAACTGAGTAATGTGGCTTTCGAACGGGAAGCTTCTGGTCTGCAATCGCCAACCTTCGTCGCGCGAATCTAGAGTTTCATTGTTGGTTTGCTTTGCTCTGTCAACTCCTAACTCCAAATAAGCAAGGTCCTCTCTACTTTTTCCTCATTTTCCCTATGTATTGATTATGGATTCATTTGGATCTAGGGTTTCATCGTGATTTTCTTTTCTCTGCCAATATAGTTGTTTGATATGCGCTTTTGTTGCTTTCTTTTATATAAAAAAAATATTTGTACTGATCTAAGGAAAAGTTTAATTTATTTCTGAAACTTGGTTGATTGAAGCAGGAGTTGTGCGTGAAGTAGAGCTTTTTATGGCCATCTACTGCTATGTCCTATAACTGATCTATATAATTATTTTGGTCAAAGGATTCGATTGTTTCAACGAAGTAATTATAGTGTCATTTGGAGTGATATCACTCTTTCTCTGCCTAGGTGATATGAGAATTACATTTCTGCGGGCAAAGAAAATACCAGTTGTTACTTCTTTACCCTTTTCCTCATCTTCTGTAAGTTTATGTGGCATTCTATTTCTAGTTTACTTTTTATCACTAAATGAATTTTTTTATTAATGAGATTATCAATAATTTTTCCTTATTTTAGCTTGGGAATTGCTGAAATTGGATAATTAGTGATTTAATTAAATCAAGCATTGTTTTAGTGAAAATTAGGTGCTTTTTTATTTTTCTTAATATATTGTGCTTGTTTTGCTGTGCCGACACCATTATTCCAGTGAGGTGAGGTGGCTGTTTGTTTTGGTTCAGTGGTTGTGCAATCCGTGCTACTTTCAGCGTTGTGACTTCGCGAGCTTCACTGTACATGGATGAGTCTTAATTGATTATATTGATTGAATCAAGAGCTTTGTGTAGTATTGTTTGGACATTTATATATTCTCTTATGTGAGCTATGGAGTGCTATTGTAGGTCTTTCTCTTCTTTTAAATAAGCATACTTCGCAACATGAATTGACTTGAATTTATTTATTCAAATATGTTCTTTTCATATATGTTTAATGTATTTGAATTAAATTTAGTATTCATTTTCTTTTTGATTTTATCATTGGTATCTGATTTTTATTACATTTTTGAGTTATCTTTTTTATATATGTTTAATTTACTGGATTGGAAAAATTTAGAGGCTCTAACACCGAATGGATCTTCCCTTCTTAATCATGCAGGAGCGTGAGCCCATAAGCTGAAAATATTACATAAAAGAAATTGGTCCTCGCTTGGTAGACATTTACTAAGAGGCATGTGAAAGTATGCGAGGCATCAGATTTCTTTTCAGTTTATAATCTTTTCATTACTTGTTGGTTGACTGTCTTCATTGCGTAGTCTATTTGGCAATAAAATTAAGCATTTATGAGAGTTTGATTTAGATGTATTGGCCATAAAGTTCTTATTTGCGGTCTATTGAAGACAAGCACATGATTTCTTTTTTCTAATCTTTGTTTATATCATTCATATAAATCAAACTCCAGCTGATCTACTTTCTTTAGTGATTCGTAGTGACTTTAATCATGTGTTTCAAATGGTTGGTAAGAATTTTATGGTCTACTCTAAGAACATTAGATATGCAACATGTGTTGTATGAAAAATAATCAAATGATAGTATCTTTCATTTTTTTTTTATTTTATATGTGAGGTGATAATAGTTTTTTAAAAGTCGTTCGAAATCTTAATGTTATAAATAACATTTCTTCTGTTTTTATTGTACATGTGAAGTGATAATAGTTTTTTGATGTCTTTCTATATCTTTGTGTTATTGACAAAACATGACTTGTCAAGAAAGTTAGTTGGTGACATATAGAAAGTTGGGTACATGTAGCTTTTTATTTTCTATTGCTTTCCATAATTTGGACCTCTACATTCTGATTTGCATATTTGATTCAAAGGCTCTTCAGCCATATTATTTTGATGTTAAATAAAAATGATCATCATTTAGAGAACCGAGTTACTTTACGATATATATATGAATTGACAGATTGCTCTACATCCTTGTTTTCTTTAGAGATAAGAGGCTTGAGAAATATGATTGATACCTTGTTCTATAAATTGCCAGATAGAAATTTGATACTCAATTGAAATTTAAGTATTTTTCTTGAGGTGTGTCAAGAGAATATACTATGAGCAGAAGTTAACATAATCAGGACTGAGATATACAGAATTGTTTTTTCAATTTCTTTAGTCTGCCAAGTCACGCAATTGAGTCAGTTGTTGGTTAGCTTTATTTGAGTTCCCTGTTGAATTGACATCCATATTTACTTCGAGTCTGATCAACAACTTTTATGTATTTTATGAGTTACATGGTGTCATTGCTAAGTGTTAGAGTTAGACTAAAAGAGTGTCTGCTTCTTGTAAAAACTCGCCGAAATTTAACTTCTATATGTGATGTAACTTTTTTATGCAGGGAACAAGAATTAGAGCTTCTGAGGATAGATATCTGAGAAAAGATATTCCGGGAGATGAAGATGAGTTTAAAAAATTAGTTAAAAAGATCCCCCAAATAGCAGTTCTGTTTGGATAAATATACATGACATTTCTGGTATTTTTAGCTGATGTTAAGAAGGCAGACTCAATGCCAGATTACGCCGAGTGCTCATTCAAAAATGTTGCAAGAAATGACTATGATTCTTTTTGGAATTTTAGTTCATCTGATGATGTAATATTGAAGTACCTATACATGATTTTTAATAATATATATTTTACTTAATTGATGGCTTGTATTTGTGTCAGAATTATTCTATAGTATTTGACATGTTTTGATACATTAGTATGATAAAGAGGATTAATTATAAGAAGACAAAGAAGTAAACACTGTTTTAAACCGCCGTTATATGCCAAAATAACCGCCGTTATAATATTTTTTTTTTGTAGTGAACACTTAGAAAGCAATACACCAAAATTTTTATATGTCATAATTTATTACATACAGTTCAAGGATCAAAACACAATCACATAGATACAAATATGCAAAAGGAATAGAGAATTTTTTTTATCTTAAATAGTCAATGAAAATTGCTGACTTGAAAGGGGGGGGGGGGGAGTGAGTATCAATGTAATAATTTTGTTCTAAAAAGAAATATTTTAAGGATAAAATAGTAAAAATCTTAGTCAAACTTAAAATGTTTATTAGCTAAAAATTCATAAGCTGGGGGTGACCAGCTCATGACTTTTGGCTTATTTTTGACTTATAAGCACTTTTAACTTTACCAAACACGTAGATAAGTCGAAAAATGCTTATAAGCTAGTTTGACCAGCTTATAAGCTTAGCCAAATACCCTCTAATATAGAAGGTGTTTGGCTATAAAATGAAAGTAGTGTTAAAACTAAAGAATTTTTAAGTACAATGCATAAAACTGAAGAAAGAGTGTCCTGTAAAATAGAATCGAGGGATACTATATTAATATTTATATACAAAATATATGAAGAAGAAGAACAAGTATAATATCTCAAAGCTGACGCAAATTGGTATTTAGTTTTTCTGTCGCACGACGATTGGCGGTGCTGGGCGGTGATGACCGCGAAGAGCGGAAGCTTTTTATTCGGGCTTTGATTTTGGGAAAATTGTGAAGAAGAGAAACGAGAGTTTTAGTGAGAAAATTTGGGACATAACACATTTGAAATTTGCTAGGGAGTACGCAGATTTAGTTTTATCCATAATTGTTTTTCAATATAGAATAATTTATTGTGCGAAATAACAGTAACACGTCAAAACTTATCTTTCTACTCCACAATTTCAATGTGGTATTAATTTTAAGGATATTTAAAAAATATACAAAATGCATTTATAATAAGCTTAAACCATGATGGAAATATTTAACAGGAGACGTCTATATAGATGCATAAATCGGATTTGGAAATGTGGATGTCTGATTTATAAGTCCGAGAAATTCGATATATGATTTGAAGTGTAATTTATATGATTTATAATGTATGTGTTACGCGACGTATAATTCCGAGAAATTCAATACATGATTTATATGATTTATAATGTGTGTTACGCGACTTATAAGTCCGAGAAATTCGATACATGATTTAAAGTGCAATTTATACGATTTATAATGTATTTAGGTTAGGTCCAAACGCACACGCAAGTATACGCGATCGACAAGTAATAGAGTAATACGAAAGTATCGTTCCCGCAGAGATTTATGATCAACTATTTTTCAATCTAAGCTATTGTCATGACCCAAAATCCCACCACAGGCGTCGTGATGACACTTAGTCTCTAAAACTAGGTAAGCCGATTGCAATTTCATTTCGAGCCATTTTTTATAAACATATAATTATAACAACCTTCCAAGACTAGTAATACGGAATTACGACCTCTAACTGAATACATGCAATGATCTCAAGGATCGAATATACAATACTATTCGAATAAGAGTTGATAGTATAATATAATGAAAAGACTCCAAGGGACTGCGACGACCAAGTAGTCCTACCTTGAATCCTTGCGATCACACTCTAATCTTTGCCCGAATCTGATATCTCCAATACCTGGCTCTACACAAAAATATACAAAAGTGTAGTATGAGTACACCACAGTCGGTACCCAGTAAGTATCAAGACTAATCTCGGTGGAGTAGTGACGAGGTACAGTCAAGACATTCACTAGTAAAATAACCTGTGCAATATAGCATACAAAAATAATAAAAAACAAATAGCAGTGATGACAATAATAATCAACTTGTGACATGAACAACAAGGCAACAAGAACACCATAAATATTGCTTAAACGAACAATAAACACAAGTATAGCCAATTAATCAAGTCCTTCAAAATATACATATTTTATCTATGAGTTTTTCAAATAAAAGTCTTTAGAATGTAATCCGTACAATTAAATATATCCCGAATATACTTTCTTCAAATAAATATCTTACGAATATAATTCTTTCAAATAAATATCTTTCAAATATAATTCTTTCAAGTAAATATCTTTCGAATATAATTCTTTCAAGTAAATACATTTCGAATATAATTCTTTCAAGTAAAAGTTACCACGTGACACCTCATTTAACTTTCCTGGTATGAGAAATATATTCAACATATCACATCGAATGGCACGGTAATACCTTCGTGCACTTGTCTCATTCTCACCCGATATATATATGTAGATCAAATCAATTATCACGGCAACACCTTTCGTGCATTTATCTCTTTCTCACCGTGCATACATATAACAATACCAACTAGGTAGGAGAAATACTAATAACAATAAGAGAAATAAAGTGGGAGGCACACAGGAAGTAACAACGACTACAAGACACATAGAAAACATAGGTCCATAATAACAGCTCAAGATAAAGGCATGAATGTATACATAACGAAAAGATATCACAATATAATGTATGTCTCTTGTCTTCGCTTGCACGGAAACACCCTTCGTGCCATGAACATATGATAATATAAAAATAATGGCACAGTATCACCTTTCGTGCTTTCACTCTCATCCTCACATGATAATAGAAATAAAATGACACGGCATTATCCTTCGTGCATATTAAGAATGACACGACATCACCCTTCGTGCTTTATACTTTTCCTCACATGATAATATAGCTGAAATGACACGGCATCACCCTTCGTGCTTTACACTCTCAAATGGCACGATATCACCCTTCGTGCTTTACACTCTCAAATGGCACGATATCACCCTTCGTGCTTTACACTCTCAAATGGCATGGCATCACCCTTTGTACTTTACACTCTCAAATAGCACGATATCACCCTTCGTGCTTTACACTCTTCCTTACCAAGCACATGTATATCATTAACAAGCAAGGTATGAAGCATAAAGAACATCAAGGAGAGTGTTTAAACGACAACACAATACAATAATTCATATCACGATTTGCCCACCTGCCACAACCAACTCCAAAGATACAACAAAAATTAATTAATTTCAAAGAAAATAGCCCAAGGCTCCACACAATGTACATATATAAAATCTCAAAAACAATAACAGAGATGGAAAAGTAACTCAACATAGGACAACACCTTCTTTAATCCATAATTTTGATAAATATATTAACACCTCTTTTTAAGCTTATTTAATTAATTATTTGCAGATGAAAAATCCATAATGAAATTAATTCCAAAAATTATCAAATCAACAAACACACGGAATTTACATAAAATCCAAGTGGCAATCACCTTAAATTATCATATAAAATACAAACTCGACAAACAAGGAACGAGGCATGACAAATAAAGAATTTATTGTGTTCCAATAATTTTCTAATTTAATATATAAGGGTGTCTATAAATTTTAACCGGTATAAATTGTAAATATAAACCAAGTACGTACTCGTCACCTCGCGTACATGGTTTTCAGTCACACAATTTTCAAATAAGACTCAATGCCTAATGGGTAATTTCCCCACTCAAGGTTATGCAAGATACTTACCTTTTTGTAGTAATGTCGATATTCCAAAATAGCCTTCTTGCTTGAATTGACCTCTGGACAGCTCAAATCTATCCAAATTGATTGTATAACTTCAATAAAATTCATCGGAAACAATCCCGAATAATAAAATGTCAACTTAAAATTTTGCATTAAAAAGTCAATACGGGGCCCGCCTCTCGGAACCCGACAAATTTTTTACGAAATCCGAACACCCATTCCGATACGAGTTCAACCATACTAAATTTACCAAATTCCGATAAAGAATCGATCTCCGAATCTTAAATTTTCGTTTTTGAAAGATTTTTCAAAAATCTCATTTTCTTCCGATTGATTCACTAATAAAAGATGAAAATAATCATGGAATCAAGAAATATAATAACAACCGAGTTGGAAACACTTACCCCAATCCATGTGGTGAAAATTCTCTCACGAAAGGGAAAGAAAGGGTAAGACTTTGGTTGGGCAATTGTTGCAGTTCAAAAATCGCCTAAATCCGAGTTCCCTAGCTCCAAAAATGTTGAAATGAGCTAAATTCTATATCATGTGCCAACAAGTCTGAAATCATATTATGGACTTAGTCGAGGCCTCAAATCACATCAAACAATACCGAAACAATGAACCGCACCTCGAATTGAACTTATGAGTTTATGAAATTTTCCAAATTCTATATCATGTGCTGAAACGTATCAAATCAATCCGGAATGACTTTAAATTTTGTATGCAAGTCATAAATGACATAATGGAGCTGTTCCAATTTCCAGAATTGAATTTCGACTCCGATATCAATAAAGTCAACTCCTGGTCTAACTTTCTAAAAATCTTCCATTTTTCAACTTTCGCCATTTTGAAGCCAAAATCAATTACGGACTTCCAAATAAATATCCGGACATACTTCTAAGTCCAAAATTACCATACGAAGCTATTGACATCATCAAAATTCTATTCCGGAGTCGTTTGTTCAAAAGCCAAACTCCGGTGAAACTTTAGAAATTCAAGCTTTATAAAATCAAACATATTTTTAAAGCTAACGAAAAATATGCCTATGCACCTCGGAACAACTTCAAATTTTGTACATAAGTCAGAAATAGTTATGAAGTTGATCGAACTCTCGGAATCCAAATCGGGACCCGGTATCAACAAAAATCCAATTATGACCAAATTTAAGAATTCTTTAAACCTTTAAATTTCTAGTTTCCGTCAAATGGCGATAATTCAAGCTAGGGGCTTCCAAATTTGATTCTGAGCATACGCACAAGTCCCAAATCATGATACAGATCCACAAGAACCATCAAAATACTAATCTGGAT